CTATTCATAGGTGAGAAAAAATGTATCTTTATGTTAAAAAGCATAAATTCTAGGGAGATGAAGAGTTTTCCAGCCTCATAGGTAGTGACTATTTGAATTGAATGGAAATTGAATCAAAAAAGGTCATTAGCCTTTTGCATATTATGTCTTACAATACCTTCATCTGAAAGTATTGCCTATTTTCACTCTTTTTATATTATACTGTATTGTTAATTTCTTTTTGGTTTATGTGGTCTGTGTCCCTTCCTACGTGACTTTTGTGTTTTCTGCTTTGCTTAAAAATGAAACCACCCCCTCAAAACACACACACAAACATAACCCTGAAATTAAACAAAATGTTTCCTAATATTTCATATATATATTTGTATATTCACATAATTGTATGTTTTTTTTAAAGATTTATATATTTATTTATACAAAAACTGGGGTATAGGCCAGATGCGCAGGAAGGTGAGAGGATTCCCCAGAGACAGAGCGGGGAACAGAATAGGCAGACTGACAAAATACACTGCTGAGAAGAGCAGCAGGAGTGACAGGAGACGTCTGCTGTGCCATGTGGGACCCTCGCTGGTTGGCTGGGATCGAACTGGCGCTGCAGAGGCTGCAGTCAGCTTCACAGAGCTGTGCTGAACCGCCTGCGCCACCAGGGGAGGCCCATATAATTGTATCTTTAATCCATCCGGGCAGGTCTATTTTAGAAATACTTGTCTGAAGATGACTGAGGTCTGAAGGATAAGATTGAGCTTGCCAGAAAAAAAAAAAAGAGGACTAGCATTTCAGAGAAATTAGACTAACAATGCAAATGTTTTGAAGAGACAAACAGCTTGGGAGGTAGGAGGAGAGACCAGTGTGGCTGGGACAGAAAGATGAAAGATGAAGAGTAAATCAGAGAGGTGGTCATGGGTGACCCTTTAGATTATAGTAAGGAGCATAAATTAAGCTATATATTGAAGGTATAGGTGACATGAATTACCCAGATTAATGAAAGGAACAAGTCTCACTTCTAGTATTTTCACTTGGTTAAACGGATTTAAGGTTAAGTCATATACTGATTAGGGGAAGACTTTGGGGAATCAGGGGCCTAGGAAGCACTATGTTCACTCCTGTGTTCTGGATGGATTCAGGTTTAGTGGCTTGATAAAGTTACAAGTGAAGGTGTTGAGAAGGAATCTCTACACACACATTTACATTTTGGCAAAGGGCAGGGCTCAAAGTGTCAAGTTGGAAATATATTGCATATAGTCTTTGAAACTGCAACACTGATGAAATCATGAAGGGGACAAGCTTCGGTTTCTAAAATTCAGAGCACGAGATGGTCTGGCCATTTTGTGGGAGATACTAAATGCAAGAACAATCTGTTGTGGTGTACAATCAGTTCAGTCCTGTGCTTTCAGCTCTGACTCTCACCAAATACAGGAAAAAAAATGGATGTCTCCCCAGCAACTGTCTGCTGCAGAGTGAGGGGTACGATCCAACTGATAGACAAAGAACCTAGAACTAAGAGTCTAATATCTAGCACACTTGCTTCTTTAAGAAAAAGCCTCCACTCTAAGTGCCGAGTTCCAAGTCCTAAGAGATCCTGATGCGCTCTCCCTGCCCAATCTGCAACTCACTGAACAACCCTAAATTAAGTCCAATCATCTGCTATTTTTCAAAATGACTACACTAATTTGTGCTTGATAATTTGCTCATTGAAGTATATATAGCAGATTCCAATTTCTCTTGAAGTTATAATGATTATACTTATTTAGTTTTGAAAAAATGTATTTGCTTATTTATCAAGGAGACAGTTTTCCAGGTGTAAATTTAGGTGATGGCTATGTTTTAGTAGATCTGATGATGCTCTTCTTAATTTGGTACAATACTTAGGTACTGGAATAAGAGAGGGAAGAATGCTGGAGTCCCATGAAAGTCCTTATCCTCAATTTCAGAATGCATGGGGAAATCCTCACTTCAGGTCCTAGTATCTTCTAATAACATACATATATTATATTTAACAGAAATATTTATATTTATAATTATTATTAGGATTAACAGATGACAAACTCTTAGAAGAGAACCCTAATTTTAGCTTTAAAATGCATATTTTTTTTATAATTAGTTGTAAAATTTATTACATTTTGAAAAAAGTACAAATGTTACATAAAATATAAAGGAAGTGGATGATGTATGGAATAAAACAGACTGTGACATAAATTATGTGGAAATTTAAAAAGAGATCTGTAATTGGTGATAAGTCAAATGATCTGCTTTGTTCGGAATGACCTTTATTTAAGCAAATAATGCTTCTGTCTCAGCCTCACATCTCAGTAAATCCCTGAGATCAACTTGTGTCCCTGGTGCCTTCAGTAATTGGAAGGCCTGGGTTTATCATTCTCATCAACTTGCCCCAATTTAAATGGTTTGCCCCAGGACCCTGGAGGCATAGTAGATGGAGACAAGTTGAAGGGTTGGAAACCAACTGAAGACTTTATTGCCCACTAGAGAATTTTCCCAAGAAGCAACCAGGGCTTTTGGATATAAACAGTGACATTTCAAAGTAGAAGGCAGAGACATACGTTGGAGTGGGGAAGTTAGGACAGAGCTGCAAGGAATATTCTCTTGGGGAACAACCTGTTTGCAGCACCTCTAGGTAAGAGTTGGTCAGTTGGCATCTTCTGTGTTTCTCTGAAGTTCCCCAAATAAATGGCCAATACAAACTGGATTTTCAGAAGGGATTTTTCTGTAGGAAAGAGAAAATGGTATTAGTAATCTATCAGTCTAGGGTGTAATTAATGTCTGTTCTGGTAATAAACTGACCGTCTACAACAAAATGCCTCTGGATAGCCCAGCCACTGACTTACTCATCTCATTATTTACTCAAAATCCAATTATTAAGTGTTTATTGTACACCATGGTCTATGATGATTATCCACAATTAAACAAGATGGGGTCCTTGACCGTAGATGAAAGTGAAACAAAATTAATACAATGGGTCATGCGATACTAATTAATCAAAGTTTTGTTATTGGAGAGAATAATCCAAGGGGAGAGAATTCAAACTCAAGTCTTCTCTAATACCTTTCTCACTCACCACAATAAATTGATTAGCTTATCAAGTCCTAGCTCTTTACCAAGCCATCTACCCAATCTTCATCTTATTTTACTTGTAGCACACAAAATCAAAAGTGTAAAGTGTATTGGCTTTTTTTTTCTTTTTTTTTTTTTTTGCTGGGTCAACAGTGCTCACACATCATCAAGATTTAACTCTCTCCCTTTAGGTAAATTGGAGTGAGATCACCTTCCCGCTTTCTCTTAAAATTCTTCACATGGTTTAGGATAAAGTAAGCCCATAGTGTACTGAGTTTTTACTGATTTCATTATTCTGACAATCTGCTAGGGAGCAGCCATTATGGAATTGTTCCCAGTGAGAAGTACTGGCTTCTTAACCTCGGGATTTAAACAAGTTATTTATGATTTGTTTCTAAGTCCTCATTTTTGAAATTTGTATAGGGATATACCAATTTTACTTCTAAGATTGTTGGGTTAAATGAATTATGCTGGAAACATGTGGAAACTGCCTGATACATAGTGCTGTTATTGGCCATTGGTCTTGAGCACCCTGTGTTCAGAACCATGCTGCTAAATCCATTTCCATCATAAGGTGAGCAAAAGCATACAAGAGGAAATGGATGGTGGAAAAATGAAGTACCTAGTTCAAGGTCACACACCCAGTAAGTATGGGTGCCAGCTTCAAAGCCAAAGTGGAAAGTTAATGAAAAGGACCTCAAGGTTCCTATAAAGCAATTCCAACCTAAGAAGCCAAGTATTCCAACATAAGGGATGCTGAAGAGAATGAACCTGGTTCTCACAGAGGACCCTGTCCTGGGACAGTCTCTAGTCTTAGTCTTTCTCTCAGTCTAATTCCTTGTCATGCCCATCTGCTCATCATAATTGTTAAAAACTCCTCAGGAAAATTCTAATGTGTGGTCATCCCGGTGCTCATTTTTTCCTCCATTTTGCCTTCACCAGATTCCCAGATACTGTAGTTGGTTCTTTTGCTGGTGGTTTTGTTAGGGGGAAAAGGATGTCCTAAAGCTAATTCCATACAGGCTTTGTGGACTCTACCCCCACCCCAGGCCAAAGCCAAAGACACTGGGAACTCCAAATCCCATAACCACCCAAGGGAAGGTGGCTGGGACCTGAGGGTTGGGTTAAGCAGCCAGGTTGGTATAAAGCCAGACACATGGGCTTTGGAGGGGTCCCCCATTTTGACTCTCCGCCAGCTCGCAGCATCCAGCCAGCTCGGAGAGTGCTTTTTGGGTTTCCAGGTCCGCGGATCAGGTAGGACACATTAAAGACTTTATTTCCCTATTTTCTCCCTGAGTTGTACATTTTCCTTATTTCCTTTTCCCTTGTAAATAAACCTTTTATTAACCTTTTGTGTGTGCCTGTAGTGGAGTATTAATAAGTCCCTTGTAAGCGCGCGGGTGAAGACCCACAGCCAGGAACCCGTTCAATATCGGGGCTGCCCTATAACAGTTTGGGAAGGGACGATGTCTCTATACTTCTCAACTTGTGTCAGTATCTACAAAGTGGGAGGCATGTCCACGGAAGCCAGCTGCTGCTTAATCTTTTCCCATACACTAGAACCCAGATTCCTTTCCTATTCATTCCCCATCACTGCACAAACCCAGTTATCCAGAAGAAAAATTTAGTAACTCAATCCTGGAAAATAGGACCCCCAGGGATTTCTGTGTGCTGCTCAGTTATGGCAACCTGCGTTATTAGTCCCTTAGTAGCATTTGTTTAGGAATTCCTGCAGCCCTATCCTAAATCTTCAGCTGTGGGAATGTAGGTGCTGGAGTCTTACAATACGCAGTATTAACACTAATTCATTGAATGTCAGGCACGGATCTAAGTTGAGGCATTAAGTGGTTAATTAGCTAAGAAACTAATGAAGATGCTATCGATGTGTACCCCAACTTAGGTATCAAAATTGTAGCACAGATTCAATTTACCCTATTTCACAACTGTAAACAGGGGAGTGTTCCAACTTGAGGTTAGAATCATTCTGTACTTTGAATTAAGTAGCCAATTTTGAAAGGTTCTTTTAATGTTCTAGTAAATCTCAGTTGCTACCCTTGAAAGTTATGACCAGGCCAGCCTTAATTCCTTACAGGGCTCAGAGAGGCGGTTGCCCACTCTAAACTGAGTCATCTAAGAGGATCTGGTCAAGTTTACCAACCTGACCCGCTGCATTTGAGAACATGGTTATCAGTAGTTTTAAAGTCAATCTAAAGTTACTAAACCACTGAGTAGTAGTGCATTTCCGGAATACATCACAAGTTGCAAGCAACATTATTTTTCATGTAGACAACCGTCTTCAGTAATATCCGAGACCGTTCTTAAAAACCTACTCTAATTTAGGAGAAGGCTAACTCACCTCTGCGTATCTTTGCTTCTAATAGTGATAATAGCTCTTCTTTTGATTGGGTGGGGGGGCTCTGAAAAGAGCCGTTGGGTGGAAAGCGTTTGTGGAAACTCAAGCTGCCTGTCAAATCACTTGCCCTTGGCCTTGTGGTGGCTCTCGGTCTTCTTGGGCAACAGCACGGCCTGAATGTTGGGCAGGACGCCGCCCTGCGCGATGGTCACGCGGCCCAGCAGCTTGTTGAGCTCCTCGTCGTTGCGGATGGCCAGCTGCAGGTGGCGCGGGATGATGCGCGTCTTCTTGTTGTCGCGCGCCGCGTTGCCCGCCAGCTCCAGGATCTCGGCCGTCAGGTACTCCAGCACCGCGGCCAGGTACACCGGCGCGCCGGCGCCCACGCGCTCCGCGTAGTTGCCCTTGCGGAGCAGGCGGTGCACGCGGCCCACGGGGAACTGCAGCCCGGCTCGCGAGGAGCGAGATTTCGCCTTGGCACGAGCCTTGCCGCCCTGTTTACCGCGTCCAGACATTGCAAAAAGACACAAAATGAGAGAAAAATACAAAAATAAAAACACGTACTCAGTAAAGCAAGCTGAGCCTGTGAGCGGAATACACACTGCTGCTTTTATAGGCATTTCCTGGAGAGTAAATTCGGCTTTCTGATTGGCTAATAGTGAGACTCACTCAGGTAGCCAATAGAAAGTCTTCATTTCAATACCTCATTTGCATAGTACTGCCCATGTATGACAGCCTTGCTGCTTGTCTTCCAATTAACTAAGACGGGCTCTGAATCCCTCATTAGCATAAAAGCCCTATAAATAGCAGAAATCCACTTCCTACTCTCACTTTAATCTTGGTGTCTTGAGATTAAAAATGCCTGAGCCAGCGAAGTCCGCGCCCGCGCCCAAAAAGGGCTCCAAAAAGGCGGTGACCAAGGCGCAGAAGAAGGACGGCAAGAAGCGCAAGCGCAGCCGCAAGGAGAGCTACTCGGTGTACGTGTACAAGGTGCTGAAGCAGGTGCACCCCGACACGGGCATCTCGTCCAAGGCCATGGGCATCATGAACTCGTTCGTCAACGACATCTTCGAGCGCATCGCGGGCGAGGCGTCCCGCCTGGCGCACTACAACAAGCGCTCGACCATCACGTCGCGGGAGATCCAGACGGCCGTGCGCCTGCTGCTGCCCGGGGAGCTGGCCAAGCACGCCGTGTCCGAGGGCACCAAGGCCGTCACCAAGTACACCAGCTCCAAGTAAACTCGCCAAGTAAGCGTTTTTACAACCTAATCCCAAAGGCTCTTTTAAGAGCCACCCATTTGTCCACAAAGAGAGCTGTAATCAGGCACTTAGTTTCCTTGGTGGGTTGGGAGAAAACATAATTCCTTATTTTTCAATGTAGATAATGCCAGATGGTAGTGGTTGATGCCACGCGCCAAACATATTTTATTATAATTTTTTTGTGATTGGGCTTCATCCAGCGTTTGCTTTAATTGGTCTGATATCTGAACACAGAAATCAAATTCTGTAGTCAGAGTTCTCTGCTTGAAGAGATGCCAATTCAAAAATTTTGGGTATCTCCAGAAATTTTAAAGGTAAGCTGAACTGAAGGTAAAGATGCCAAAAAACATGAGGAATAAATCGTTGGTCTGTGGGAATCAGGCAGGGAGTGGAACATTCCACTTGTTTAATTGTGCTAAAACCTCTAAATTTGGGGTTTAATAATTCCAAGTCATTGTCTCTTTGGGTTTTTAAGCTAGGTTTATAAGGATTATAAATCAGTTTACTGAATCAGGAAGAGACACCGATACCCACATAAGGTGAGCTTTTAATAGCTTTTAAAGATTAATGAGTTTACTCAAGGGATATGAAACTGGAAAATAGAATTTCCCTTCAAACTTAGAAGGGTATCAATATTTACCCCCCACCCCCAGGTGCTGTGGGAGGGGTGAGGGGTCTTTGATCCGAAATACATTCCTCAATTTTTACTAGATCAACACATTTAAGCCTGTATCTGTTTCTACCAACTTTAAATCTCACTTTTTCATAGCTCGAACAACTGAGAATACTTTGTTTTAGAACACAGCTTTAAGCCAAATTTTTTACCTTAATATGAAATTAATAAAGTTACATGTACACTCGTTTTAAATCGCTTATGTAAAGACTGAAAAAAGTTTAAATCGCTTATGTAAAGACTGAAAAAAGTAAGAGCAGCTGCTAACCGAAATTTTTTCTTCACGATTTTGCATGGTTTAAATGTACTACCTTTTTGAACTTGGGGGGGGGGGGCGTTTAACTGAGTTTAATTACTGTTCTTAGTAAAGGTTACATGATAAGCAGAACCCTACTATTTTTTAGCAATTTAAATATGTGATATCTAATTTTATGATAAGACTAAATTTCTAATCAAGATAATTTTTTGCACAGATTCACACTTGTTTCAAAAAGAGCTATTTTTTTTTTTGTCATAATGTAAAAATGTTAGCATTAATAGTTCAGTTACACTGTCTAGGGTCTGTCTTAAAAATTCTAACATGAATTTACTAAATTTCTCCTAGTTGGTTTACTGGCTAGATGAATTTAACATCATTTTACTAAAAATTTTACAGTTGTAAATTATGTATTAAAGTAAATTCTAATAGTCATTTAAACAATGGAATAAACTTCTGCATGTCACAAATGATAAGGACTCAATGTGTCAATGTAAACACTGAATGTACTATGTATAGATAACTAAGACGAATACTAAATTGAGTAGATTAATGCCTAATCTTTGGATACCTGCACAAATTCTAAATTGGAGGGTACAACAAAAATACATATCACTAAAATCTATATGGTCTGTGAAAGTCTGTTTTTCATGTAGTTTAGAATAATCATAAATTAATAGAGTAGAAAATGTACATGTACCTTGGAAGAATGAAGTCATATATGCTTGTTTTTGCCATTTTGAATCTGTAAAAGGCATAAGCAGTGTGCAAGTGTGGGCCCAGAGGGACAGGTAGGTTTGGGACTGCCTCCCAGTTTTCTTAAGCCTGTGGGGGAACACAGTTGATTACTTTTTAAAAGGACTGTATTGAAAACAAGCAGCTTTGGCTCTACCAAGTACCACAGCTACAGAGAAATCCAAATATGCATGCAAAATTATGGTTCTGCTTGGTGTACTCATTAGAAAAATATTAGCTTGCTAATGTAGTAAATTCAATTTAATATGTGTTGTCTTATTTGTGCTGACAAGGTAAATATATTTTAGAACTTAAAGTTCTTGAATTCATCATTATATGAAACATTTTATTTGTCATTTATTTGCATATTTCTAAGTAAGCACAAAAAGTTTACCAGGATTTGTCTGACAACGAAAGAAACAAAAAATTTTTCAAAGGTGTAAAAAGGCAGGATTCAAAGGGAACTTTGGAAATACTGTGCCTTTGTCAACCTTTATTTTTTTCCTTTTTTGTTTTAAGTATTTTATCTATAAACCATTTTTTAACAAAAGTACTTCACCTCAAAGAGCTTGATCCCATCTCTATGTTGTGTTTTAAATAGCACTCTAGGGCCTCCCCGGTGGCGCAGCTGATGAGTGCTGGGTTGCAAAGCTGCTTGCAGCCTCTGCAGCGCCAGTGGCCAAGGGCGAGGATCCCACATGGTGCGCAGACCTCTCCTGTTGCCCGCTGCTCCCCTCAGCAGTGTACTTTGTCAGTCTGCCTGTTCTGCTCTCCACTCTGGCTCTGGTGAATTCTCTCACCCTCCCGTGCTTCTGACTGTACCCAGTGCTTGTATAAATAAATAAAATAAATCTTTACAAATAAATAGCACTCTAAAATAAGATTGCAAGTATTTTTTTGGCCATATATACCTATGCAGTATATAACAGTTTTCTTTTACATCTTTTTTTACCTATCCTGAATTCAAGCTCTAAGTTCAAAATAATAAAACTGTTAAGATGGCTTTTATAACAGAATATTATCTCTGAGGTTTCCGTGATAGTCACTGGGGGTAACCAATAATTTTATTTCCATACTTAAAAGAAAGGAGGAATGGTAAAATAATAAGGCATGTTTGGTATTTCTCAGGTTTCACTTGTAAAGTCACTATTTTTCACCTGCTTTTACATAACTTTTAAATGTCCCATTCTACATCCACCCTTCTAACTATTCATGTTAAATGTTCTAAAGGCTGTTCTCACACCAAACTTAGTTTATTCCAGTTTGTCTGCTTGAACGTTTAACCCTAATTACAATCCTGACATATTATTTGTAAATTAATGATCTCTCAGGATTAATTCAGGCATACTTTTTTTACTATTGTGTTCTTTAATGAATAACAACTCACTGTTTCATGAGATATGTGTCACTTTGCTGAAAGCTTGACAACATAAATAGTTAAAAAGAGAAATTCACAAATTGTAGACATCTAATTAACTATAAAGCAATTCATGAACCGGGCAGTATCCCATCTAGATAGTGTAAGAGGTTACACAAAATGTAGGTAATATGTAGACAGAAAAGAGGGTAGGACAAGGCTACTAGCCAAAGAAAAGATTATTTCAATAAAGCTGATGGAGCTCAGATGATGGGATATGGCGCTTAAGGCTCTTGTGTCTGAGAAAGATTTCATCAGACATTCCCATTTATCAGCACAATTTCTTCTTTTTCATTGTAATATTAAAAGACTTATTTTTTGATTTTGAAAAGAGTATTATTCATTTTTTAAAACACATATATTTATTGGGCCTCCCCGGTGGCACAGTGGGTTGAGCGCCTCACCGTGGAGCTGTCCGTAGCCTCTGCAGCATGGTCTACATGGCACATCAGCACACATTCTTTAATGGAATAATTACACAAGTTATTGCTTTGGGGTCAGATTGGGCTGGTCTTCTAAGGATCAGTAATCCTCACTGTTTCCACCTCAAGCTGTGATAATCTTTTCTGACCCCACCCCAGATTCCTGGAAACTTCCATAACTGGTTTATTAGGTGTGGGGAAGAAGAGGGTGGAGAGTAGAAGACTCTCTTTTGGGCCTGTTTATTTTTAACTTAACAATATTCATAATAGATATGCCTGGAGGTTGTTCCTTACTTTCACTTGCATGAGAACAAGTGAGTTTTCTTGTGTGAGAACAAAGGAGTTCTCTAATGTATTCTTAGAGCTCAATCACATTGGGGTGGCAGTGGGGGAGGATAATTGCTCATGAGAGACAAAGAACAACTAGTTAAAATAAAAGGAAATGCTAAAGAAAATATCCCAACTGCAGTGTAAAGATGTAACCCTCAATGATTTCATCGATGTCGATTCTGTAATGACAATTGTCTAGTCTGATTTCTAAATCACAAAAGAATCAAACTCAACTAACCACCCTCTCAATGAAAATTGACTCTCAAAAATCTTACACTGTTTGCATAGACCACCCATCTCCAGACTGTAATTAGGTAACAAAAAAGAATTTCAACAACAAAAAAGTGTTCAAATGTTAAAAACAATTTTCATTAGTCCAAAGTTTTGACAAGTGATTGAATCTTGCCTATTTATAGATAAAACAGTGTAACCTAAAAAGGAAAGGTTCCATGTTCTCTGCCCCATCTATTAAAGGGTGAAGCAGAGCAGCAAGGGCAAGAGG